ACAAATCTTCCCACTGCCATATGAAAAATATGCTAGTTGAAGCTTTTCCTGAGGGACATGTCTTTTCTTTCTTTCTCAGAGCAGTTAGGGAAATAGAACTGAGAAATAATGCTCTGAATTTTAGATCCATCAAAGGATAAAATCATCACTCTGTTGATACCCGTAATATTTTGTCAGAAAGAAAATATTACAATCAGACCCAGACAACTCAGTATGCACAAGATGTCACAGCCCCCTGGGTAGGTTTACTAGGCTGAGTTGGGGGAGAGCAACAGCCTTTGATCAAACAGAAGGCAGAAGGAGGTCCTATGGGTCCCTCAAGCCCACCCAAAGATGCACTAGCTATAAAAAAAGGTGCCTGGTTGTGGGCAGGAACAGCCACTATATTAAGGCAGAGAAGGGAAAAACTCCTGAAGGAGCTCCAAGACAGACCTGGTGTCTGCCCAAAGTTAAAAGAGGCAAGAAAAAAGTCCTGGAACTAGGTAGGGCAGGTAGCAAAATAAAAGGGGTCTAGGCCATATCTGCTGAGGTACCAGCCAGACCCTTAGAAACATGAGGTAGTGTAGGGCCCCCACCCCTTTCATTCCAGATGCTTTTGGCTCCAGCCCTTCAGGTCCTGGTCAGCAGGCCACCTAAGGGGTAAGCGGGGCTACTCTGGGCTTTTTGTTCTGGGGTGCTGGAAAAATTTGGCCTCATTTTGGGGAGATTAAGAGAACTTGGAATAAAACTTAGGAGCAAAAATTTCTGATCAGCAGATAGGTGAATGATCCTTTCCATTATTTAAAAAGGAGACTATACTTTTTGATTCAGTCATGAGGGTGGGGTAGGGTGGAGAGAAACAGGGGATTCCAAAGAAGGAGTATTTATTCATTCAGCAGCCTGGCCTTTATCCCACTATCCTTTGAAGAAAATAATAATAAAAAATGAGTAGTGGGCATCAGTATTGAAAACCTGCCATTCTGCTCAGTCAGCTTTTCAAAGGGCTGACAGGAAGTCAAATTTATATGGGAGAGGGAAGGAGATTGAGGAAGACAGGCCTTAGCAGATCCACATAAGGAAATTAGGTAGCTGTAAGCCCCAAGGGAGCTGGTAGGCAAGTCCTATGGATTGACTTATTGCTGGGACTTTGCCTGGATGAAAAGTTGACAGTGGCAGAAACTTGATAGTGATGGGAGGGAGCAGCAGGATGTAAGGACAGACAGTCTTCTGCCCTCAGGACTTCTTGGGTGGGAAGACACCTGCTTTAGATTTGGTCGCTGTGCCTACTCTCAACTTTCATATTTTTCAAAGAAATGAGATGGCTTAATCCTCATCTCCTGCATCTCACCCACCTCAATGAGTACTTCTCCCAGCACCACTTTGGTGCACTCTTTTACCTGAAAAGTCTGTGGCTAGAAAAAGGCAGTTTGCTCTCTGACAGACAAATGTATAAGTCTGTGAGAAAATGTGGAAAAAGTAGGGATGGTCACACCCCCATTTCCATTGAGGTAGTCGTCTTTGTCAACACTATGGACATAGTCATCTCAGCCACCCTGCCCTCTCTCCCTCAAAATACAAAAGAACTATCTCTATACAAGGACAACACTGTAACATTAAACATCTTCACATTCTGTAAACTGCAAGGAAATGCATCTGCTGCATTCACACAAAAGCATGTGCATCATGTTGAAGGCCATACATTCAACTCTGTCGTGAAATAAATATATAGAAAAATGAGGTTAAAATAACAGACAAACAAACAAAAAACTCTTCCTGCAATAGAAACAACAGCTGCACAGCCTCCATGTTGGTCTCTCTGGCTCTTTCCTCTGGAGCCTGTCCTGCCTATCCAAGGCGCTGTGGCTGGTGCAGGGAACAGGTCATTCCTTGACAACACTTGTCTTGCAGGAGTGCAGCACCACCTTAAAGAGGAGGGGCAGCTGTTCCAGGGGTACATTCACCATCTTTCCTGGGGAAAGGTAGGAGAAGAGGAGTTAGCAATGGCCACTAGTAGAAGAGGGCACCTGCTTTCTCTTGGGCAGCTGAAGGGGGACTATCACCTGAGTGAGTGATGGGCAAGGGAAGTGCCAGGAGTATGGCAAAGGCCAGATGCAGAGAACCACTCTGCTATCGAATCATTTTGGTGCCCTTAGAAGACTCATATAATCATTCTGTCCAGGGAATACTTACTGTGCTAGGTGTTAAATGCATTATCTCATTTAATTTCACCATATTTCTGTGTAATAAACACTTTCCATTCTCATTTTATACATGAAGAATCTGAAATGAAAGGTAGTCCTATCTAGCCCTCTTTCAGCTAAAGTACCTATCCCTTTTTCTTTTTTCCCTTGTAGAATCTAGTTATTCTACAAAATAATGCTTTTCAGAATAGCAAATAGGTTACTAAAAGTACAGAGGAGAAAGAGAGGGATTGTAGGGGCAAAGAGCCTTGAGAAATTTGGGGTTAAAAGAATTTTACAGGTTTTTTATTGCAGGGCTTCTTAGAACATTTAGCATGCTAATATACTCTGTAAACTAAGGTAAATTAAGCCTGTGGTTCTTCTTCCAGACAGTAACCCAGGTCACCTGGGGAGCATTTAAATAACACTGATACCCAGGTTCCACCCCATACCAATTAAACCAAAAAGTCTGAAGGTGCAACCCAAACACTGACTTTTTTTTAAAGCTTCCTAGCTGAGATAACTATGTCCATTTTTTAAATGCTGCCAGGTCCACCTTATATCTGCTACGTTGCTCTGTGACCCAAAAAGTAGGAAACAAATAAAAAATCCTCCTTTGACAGATTAAAGTTTTTTCCTTCAAAAATTGTACTGCTGAATTTTGTAGGAATAATCACAATCTAGAGATCACATTTTTAAGCTGCTCCTCAGTACATGCTGGACAGCTAGAAACATGAACCCTTACTAAATGAATTAAAGCAACAACAACAAAAAAGCCAAGATTATGCATGGAAGCAGACCTATTAAATGTCAAGAAGTGGAGTGGGGGTGAAGACCACACACAAATACATATCCCGATACACAAAATTCCTTTGCAAACAGAATTTTAAAGACACCACTTTAAATGACCCTGGAAAGCCCATAGGTAATCCTATGACATAAGATTTTTTTTCTTGTTTTTTTGTTTTTAAACTGAGATAATTCTCATAAAATTTACTCTCTTAAAATAAAAAATTTGGGAAATGAAGTTAATTTAAGATACTTCAATACTCCAAGCATGTTTTCCTATCCACAGAAGGACCATACCAAATCAACCTTGCAGAGATTGTTCTAAATTTAAATGGTAATAAGGCCATGGATACCCTTGCACATCATAGGAGATCCTGAAATGAGAGCTTCTCTACAAAGAAGACAAAAAACTTCTTACTACAACAGAATTTTTCTGAGGGCAAGGGTAGTAACTCTTTTACACAGGTTGTAATGAGCCTGGAATAAGCATCCAGAAAACACTTATAATCTTGTATCCTACACAAGCTAAGACACGCAAGGAAGGGTTGGGGGCCCAGGACCTAGAACATTACCTGCAATGTATCGAATCTCAGGTAAACACATCATGAGATCAGGAAAGCGGTTTGGCTGATGTGTATATTTATATTCAGTGAAATCCTGGCAAATGTACCAATATCGCTTGTTCAATTGTTCCAGCTGTGAAGCACTGGTCAGACCCCTGATATCTGTAGAAAAACAAAACAAAACACACACACAAGGAATGGGAAGGGTTTTCTAATGAGGAAAAATAATAGCTTCTTTAATATGTACATCCCTCAATTAAAAATTATTAAACACTGTCACAACAGGGGCTCTTTTCCCTTTTTGATACGGAGGAAATAAGTTCTGGATAAGGGAAGAGAAGTAAAAAATAACATAAAGAATAGTACTAGATTGAATCTTTTCAGGGCTAGGCTGTGTCTTTCTCAACTTCATACTCAGCTCCCAGCACAGGGTGTACTACAAAACAGGCACCATGAATGATGAACAAATGACTAACTTATTTTTCAAATTTATCCTTCATGATATCTCTGAATTTTCTCATCTTTGGAGCCAATCTTGGGGATACCTATATGTTGGTGTATGTAACACACACAGACACACACAAACACATGCATGAGATCTCTATTGTCTCTCTTACAATTCTACCTGGGCTATTGTCTGTCCATCCTTCCTTCCTATCTAATCTATCAACACACATAAAACCCTTTTTCTATATATAAAGACTATACATAGAATATATGTAATATTCTATATATAGAATATGTTAATATATATTCTATATGTAGACTATTATGTATTTATATATTCTCTATATTAATATTATATGTAATTATTAATTACACATGATATATAACATTAATATTAATTATGTAATATATAATGTTAATATAGAGAATATATTAATACATATTTTATATAGAATATGTATTAATATTTTCTATATAAACCTTACCCTACCCAGCCTTTGAGGCCCACCTCAAATTTTTCCTCCCCCAAGAAGCTGCTACTGATTTCCCCCATTTGAGGCACAATTTATGTGTCAAGTGCCAGTAGAGTGTATGTTTCTGGAGGAACCTGGGGGTCTAATATTTGTTGATGTCTTCAATGCTCAGCACAGGGTTTGGCCTAAAGGAGGCATGCAGAGCACCAAATACATGCATGAATGGTGCAGAAGCCACAGAAGGAGGTCTGGCCAGCATGAGGGGGAGACTGAACAACGAGGAGGAAATCAAGAGTCTCTATCTAAGCTGGGAAACAGCACAGGAAGAGAGCATTTCAATGCCACAGGCACCAAAATCACCCAATTCCACTCTGGGAGCAGAACACTTATTTCACTTTGGATAAAAGAACACAAATTCTCCTTTATATGCTGGTTACCAGCAGCTACCAAGTGCCACGTTGCAGGTAATGCTCCATATAAATCACATCCACTCTTTTAATTAAAAACCATGCATGATATGCATGTGCTGAGTTTTTGTGCATCACCACTCTTCCCTGAAGAGGTATCAGAACCACTGCCAGCCTGTCACAGAGGCCTTATCTCCAGTAGTTTCATCAGTCACTCTGCTCTTCTTTAGTCGCTGGTAAACTAGCACATATTTTAAATGACGCATGTACTGTCCTTGGTGTCTGTGTTTAAATGCATTAAAACTGACTAAACAAAGTGAATCCTCTCCCTTCCTCTATGAGTTATAGAGATTGTGGCATTTAGATTTCAAGAAAAAATACAAAGCATTCCTTGCACTGTAAAGGGGCAGGATGATGACAAGGGGGAGTGCAGGCCTCTAAAATTGGTAGCCACATGGTATGAGAGCTTCTGTGACAGTCCTGAAGGAAGGGGAGGGAATGAAATAGAGGTTAAATGCTCACAGGCGGGG